TAAGTAAGTAGAGCTAGGCATTCACCAGTGTCTGCTTCTTTGTCTCTGAAACTAGCAGACGATGCACCATGCATCAGTCTGCAACTATCTGTTCCATCTCCTAAAGTAAACATTACTGATTTAGTTTGATTTTTTTTCTCTGTGTGTGGCAAATACAAAGAAGTCAGAACATCTCTGCAAAACACCTAGAGATATGTAAGAAAGACTTTTTTTACAGTTTAAGGCTTGGAAAAAAATGCTGTGTAGCACTGCAGGGCAATAGTAACTAATACTAACAGGAACATTTTCAGTTCATCCCATTGTGTTCAGTCATATCTGTTTCGGGTCTTGAATTAGATGAGACATATGAAAAGTTTTATTTATTCTCTTGGAAAAAAAATTATCTTTTGTTTCTGAGAAAGTTGGATTTGTATTTTTTTTTTCCTCTTGAATACAAAGATACCTATGTGCCCATTTTAACAATATACAGTGCTGGAGCAGACAGTGAGACAAAAGTCTCAAATATATAGAGTTAAACATAACCTCAACTACCAGTCTTTGTTATCCATGGATGACAGCCCAGTTAATAAATGTTTTCTCACTAGGATGCTGAACTAGTGGGAGTTAATGTTGAAACAGATCTACAACATACTCCAGATGCTCAAGACAAGCAGACACATCACAACCATAACAGCAGTGGCATGCACACAGTGTACCTATATGGGAGTAGAGTTAGTCGAACTTGGGTTTTCCCACTCACTAGCCCAGGTGCAAACACTATGTAAGCAAATAAATTTGGGCAGGGAGAAGACTGGCTCATATTCTGGATATGTTGCTTGAAAACGGTGCTTACTACTGGCAGGCGTTTATATTGAGAAAGGGAAAGAGGGAAAAGATGAAAGAGGAAAGATTTTGGCAGAGGCCGTAGTTCAGGCATGCAGAACAGATATCCTAGTCCACATAATCATAAAAGTGTGTCTGCTTGCTAGACTTGCTATGTATCTCTTTCCAGTTAGGTTTCTGTCTTTAAATGTAAATGACATAGTATTGCCTTTAGACTTTGTGATTCACTAGACCAGAGCCAAAAAGAATTCAAATATGAAAAATGTTTTGTTACATTTGCCGTTAAAGGAATAGTCTTATTCTAAAGAGTCGAAGCCTGAATTGTTTCCATGGTAGTTTTCTCCTCTTTTTCAACATCTGTCCATGTTTTGTTATCTGGATTGAGCATAACAGTAGGGAGAAGGTGGCAGAACTGAACACAAGTAATTTCTTTACTTATCAGCCCATCAAAAAAAGCCTTTACAAAGAAATATAGAAAAATCCTTGATTCTCCATTTCCGCAACAGAAAAATTCCTAAAATATATGACCTTGCGATGGTTAAAAGATAGCCAAGAGCCAAAGCTGGGCAATGTTTTTATCCCAGTTCAGCCATGTCATGGGTCATGTGGTTCAGCATGTGAACAGGAAGGTGAGAATGGGTGAACTTTTGCCTCAGTTGTGCAGTCCATCAGAAAATAAATGGAGCAAATCACTCTGCAGCTGTATCAGGAGGTGAACGGCTGAATACCTCTCACACAGAGGCCTTTGTGTTCTGGACATGATCTAGCATTATGATGGGACGCACTAGGCTGAGGCTTTGTAGCAATTACTAACCCATTATCACGCTAGAACATGAGATCATTTATCTTCTAATTCAGAGTGTCACCTGTTCTTCATTTGCCAGTCAATAACCATTAATTACTTTCAGTGGAAATTTAAACAAAGCTTTTCCCCTCTGTTAAAACCAGTAAGCCATTCAGTAATGATAAATAAACCTAGAGCTGTATCTCCCTCTTTCCTCTCATTCTCAGCCTGGAGTCTGGTACAGTATGAATTCTTAAAGGAAATGCCTAGAAATTGATAGGTCAAGAGCCTTTATTAGTCTGATGTGGGGGGAAGCACATTCCTGGCACTTGCTGTAGGGAAAGCATATCGCTACTGCTTGTACACATATGTCTCATTGGTTGTCATGGGCTGCACCTGTGGAAATATAGATTTGACTGTGGAACTTATTCAAAGTTTTTTCTCTCTTCTGGCTTGCCTTGGCATTTTTTTACAGGCTGTTCATGCAGACACATTCAAAGCAACAGCATTTCGTCGCCCTCCTCGAAGCAAAACAGAACTATCGCTTATTTTGTAAATTTTAGCATGTTAATTTTTTTCATACCTGGTTGGATTGAGGTAACTGTAAGTGCCAACAATTGTGAATGCCAGAAAAAATAAAAGAATTAGCAGTGATAGATTCTCAAGCAATCATTAAGTTAAATATTCTTTCCTGGTAGGTTTTGAGGCAAAAATTGCTTTTAGCAACTCTATCTGCATTGTTTGATCATTGCTAAGTTGATTCTGTAAAAATTTACTGCAGGTTGTGTTTCTAAGACAGTGATTGCTTCCTTTTTGAAATAGTAGACAAGAGCTGATACACCCAAGTGCATAAAACCTGGTTGGACCCACTGTCAAAGGCTGGGTTTTGTCAGTATTTTGGAACTGTCTCCTTTGATGTAGGGCATATTTTATAGTAAAGAGAAACTTTCAATGCTATTTTATATTAATATGCAAAAGGAATGCGTAAATATTTTAAATACTCACTGGATTGTTCAATGTTTTGGCATAAGCACCCACACTAAAATTGTGTCTAATGAATTACAATACTGAGGTGTTTAAAAGTGGGGAGTGGCAAAAAATTGTTGGAAGTCTGATCCTGCTTTTGTTTAGACATTTTAATACCACTTTACCAAAGGTCATAGTAAACAGCAGGTGCTTATGCTACTATTGCATATTCAGTCAACCTATGTGGCATTTGGGGCTAAGGGGTGATTTTTACCAATCAATGCAGTTATGTTGTCACATATCTCTCAAATGTAACTGACACTACAGTGCCAGGGTGAGAACTTGAGTTCATTATATATGGGAAACATCCACTAAAGTCAGGAGGAGAACCACTGTTAGTTCTTTGAAATCCTTTTTTGCTCAAATAATGCCCTCTCATATGAGGAGGCATGTTGTTTTCAGCTGGACTGCTTAACGAAAGCCGAAGGTCTGTGAAATTAGGGACCAGGCTAGGAGAAACAGAGCTATCAACCACCCATTTTAGATATTCCTGTTACCTTTCTGTGCAGCTGCTACAGCTGTAAATCCTGCAAGCTTGTCCAGTCATGAAGAAAGAGGAGTTGGTGATTTACAGTGACCTCTCAAATCATCAGGGAAACCCCAGTGCTCCAAGAAAGCTCATATGAGAGATACAAGTTAAGACATCTCCTCCCCACAAGAGGAGTTTCATTAGCCAGTTGGGTATTTCTGCGTCATTGGTTAGGATGTTCAATCCTGGAAAGGAAAAATAAAGCTGCTGCCATTGTCCTGCCCAGCAGGTCATCTCCCTAAAGCACAATTAATGTCAAGGACTTACACAACAGTTCCCCAAAACCCAGCCTTCCATGCACATTCAAGAAGCAAAAGGGTTCAAAAGGAACATGTTAATAAAGTCTTGTCAAAACTTTGGAAGATGCATAAAATATTAACTGGGAAGAAAAATGGCTTGGAAATAGAACCATTTAAGTGGAATGTATTGCCTTGCTATGCAGGACACTGATTTATTAAGAATAGGAGGGAAAAATTGAATATTTCAGGTGGTATTTACCAAGAGAAACTGAGCTGTCCCAAAGCTTTTATTAATCTGATTTGCAGAGTATCCACTACCATCAAGGGACCTACTAAAGTTGTTTTCTTTAAAGCTGATGTGAAGAGGTCAATGCAAATGGCATCGTGGATTACACTGTGAGAGGATGACAGTCCTTTCTACCATATGGAGAGAGAGTTGAATTATTTTGTTTTCCTTTTTTGGTTATTTATTAAATGAGGATCATGCCATACAGGTATTCCCTTTTCCTTGCCAAAGGAAATGAAGCGTTTGCATCATTCTGATTGATCTAAAGTAATAATTATTCTGTCCACCTACAGCTCCTATGCAGTCAAATAGTCCAGTCACTGCGGCAGTGCCTTTTGCATTAGAAAACTGAAATGTACCTGCCACCATACCTTAGACAAGTCACACGTGTCTTTGCATGCTTCTTTTTCCATCTGTTTTCTGTTTTTCATGCTGACTTAGCTGGCCAGGCCTCTGAGATGACGCTCATCCATCATTACTTTTTTGTGGGAGGGGACTCTGTGAAAGACTGCTGCAGGAATTAAACCTGCTCCCCTGAAATGCAAAGATGTTGACAATCCTGTGAAGTGTTGCTTCAAAACATATTGCGAACCTTTTGCTGAACGAACAGTTCTCTGAAAGTGATGTTAATGGTTGTCTCACTTTTCCACCAGTGTTTTCTGTTTTCCTGTGTCGAAAGAAAAAGTTTCTTCTACAGTGCTTTAGTATGTAACATTCAGCACATATTCAGCAGGAAAAAGAGATTAATTTGCTCAAATACGCTGTTAAACATTCTTAGTTACCTTTTAAACTCTTTTACTCTTAATTAAAATCTTCACTTGGGCAAAACAAATGTGACAGAAGAAAGAGCAAAAAGGATCCATATTTTCATGCTTCAGTGTATTTAACATCGTTCTATAACAGACAGTCAACAGCGCTCTAGACTGAAACATTACAAAATTTTTTCTTTTCCCCATATCAATGTCAATTCATGCAGTGCTTTAAACAAGTGAATCCACACTGTTGAGCACTAAACCAAGTCTCAATGTTCAAAAGTAAACATATTAAAGTCTCCCCTGCAGAAACCCCTGCTGTGAAACAAATTGAAAATCAAATACAGCGTTGTTTTCTATAATAAGAAATAATTGGACTCTTTTTAGAGTTGCACTGAACTGGTTAATAGCCACTGTGTAAGGAAAGTACTAATTTCCCCAGCTTGGGATATGTGTGTGTACGTCTAGTTATTTCCAAGTCAAAAATGCAGTAATACAATATCGTGTACCAAAGGGGCCACTTACATGTGCACTGAATCTGACTTTGTTTACCTTTCTGCAGGCCATGTGGCTGATGTTGCAAACGGATGAGCCTGAGGACTTTGTCATAGCTACTGGGGAGGTCCACAGTGTCCGTGAATTTGTGGAGAAGTCATTTAAGCACATTGGGAAAACCATCATGTAAGTACAAAGATGAGAGAGCAGCCACAGGTTGAACATTTCTAGCATGTCATATTTGCTGTCTTACAGAGTATTGTTTGTCTACATTCTCTATTTCCCCCCCACCCACTTTCTAATAGTAACATGTGAGACCTTCCAGGCACAAATGACTGCCACAGTGGATATGTCTAGTGGTGCCCTCTAGATCACAAGTAAAAATGTAAGTGGGTTAGTCTTAATTTTTTAGTCAAGGTCTTCATTTGCTGCTCTCCCATTCACTCCCTGTCTTGGGGGCAGAGATGCCCCTCCAAAGATGGGCACTGTTAGTGCTGTTCATCACCCTCCCACGAAAGGAGCTTTTCTGCCCAATTCTTTATTTTGTGTCCCTAGATCCCCCTCAGTCCTGCTCCCATCCTCTGCGATCTGAAGAGGTGACACCTGCCAATCCTATTCTTTCCACGCGACAGCCTGTCGGCCACACTACAAGACTTATGTAGCAAACCACTCCATTCCTATTAGCTCTTCTCCTTCTAAACCATAGAAATCTTGAGCAGTGGGTGCAGAATGTTTACAATGCATATTCCACATAGTTTGATTGAAAATACAAAATTCCTTCTCAAGGCCATATAATAAAACCAGGATGGCTTGGTGAGCGCTTTCTGTAATTTATATTTTTATTGTTTATTATTTTTTCAATTTCCCTCCTTCTGTATCTTCTCTGGGCCCCATGCATCAACATACCAATCTCAGCTGGAAAAGGGAGAGGAAAGCCACAGGCTCTTCCATGACGCTAGCACCAGGGCTGTTCCTCGGGCCATCAAAGTCACTTGTGCAGCTGGTGAACTTTTGACAGGGCCAATAAGTTTTACTTGGGAACAAAAACTTGACAAATTCAATAAATATGCAGAAGTGCACAGATATATACAATATTATTTGAACAGCCAGTGGGTGGCTGGGAGGTAATAACATTTTCTTCTCAATGAGTTTTTAGTGTCTGGTTTCAATTTTTGGCATCAGCTTCCAGAAAAAAAAATTCTGATGAGGGAGAGAAAGACTGTATTTACAGTATTTCTAACCCAAAGGATCAGTTCGGGGAATAAGTTTCTCTCCATAATTTTAGCATTTCTTGACTGCGAGATGTCCCTGTGATAACACATTATGCCATATGCCTTAAACACTAGTGAGGTTTGAGAGGGTAAAGAGGAGTTAGTAGGAGCTCTAGTAATAGCTTTGTCTTTCTTATTTTTTCTTCACTTTTTATACTTTTGTTTCTTGTATTTATAAGCTAATTCACCCCAGTAAGCATGGATAAGAAAATGCTGCAAATTCAATTGCTCCATATAAGAAAGAATTCTAGTGATTTTGAGAACTACTTTGCCCCTGTCTAGTATTGTTTATCAAAGCAAGAATGAATGTTTGGTAAACAACTTCTTTTTTTTTTTTAATTTTGATTACCTACAATTAGAAAATTATACATATAGGTTGGTACCTATCTGAATGTCTTTATTTGCAGTGGTTCCCCATATCATAGTTTCTTTTGATGTTAGTAAATTTATCCATTAGTTTAAAATTGAACTCCCTGCTTTCGAGTTGGCCTAAGAAGTCTCAGCATTTCCCAAGAGTGACAATTCCACATGTATTTTTCAGAAAGCAAATTAAGCCCTCAAGAAAACCTAAAGGAAATAACAAGTCCACAATAAAAGTGAAAGTACTTTTATGAATAGCTTCTGTTATAGAGGGGATATTAAAGGCTTAGTTTAGATTTAGTTGTTCCTAACACTCCCAATTTTGTGTCCTGTTTAATTTTTGCTCACATATGGCGCTATGTGGTGGACTGCATATCATTCATGTTGGTGTTTACTGCAGTCAGTGTTTGGATTGAATCAATCAGTCACAAGTTGCTCTCTTAGAAAAACTTCACAGTACAACTCCAAATGATGAGGTAGGGCAGGTATCTTCTGTGTACAAAGGTATAGTTGATTTTTTAATTACTAATCAAAAGAAGTAATTTTCAAAAATTGTATGAGAACTCACATGACACCAAGTGACATGGATTTTTAAGAACATAAATTACTTTAGAAATGGGGGCTTGGCTCTACTGAAATTTTTCTTTCTTGTGAACAAGTTAATTCCTTACGCCATTTACAGTGTATAACTGCACATACGGAGACTAAGGTGACATTTAAATGCTAATGATAATTTTGTTGCTGACCATTTTGGCAATGGTGCAATTCTGAACATTTTGGATATAGTCTGTCCTGATAAACCAGCCATTCTTTCCCTGTGCTCTCAGGGTGGGAATAATGTCTCAACAGATCCACTACTCATCTTTCAAAATGCACTAGATGTAAAATATTTCTCAGGATTTGGAAAGTTTTGTTAAGAACCTCCACAATTTTTCTAGGTGTCAGCCTAATCCATGCTTTTGCAGTGCATACACACACAGACACACTCTCCTTGCCCTCACTGGCTTCTTGGCCAGCCAGCTGGTAACCTCTCACATTCTTTGAAACCCCCAACAGCTTTCCACTCCCACCTCCTCCAGTTTGAATATATCTTCTTCAAGGAATAACCTGGCAGCAAAATCCTCCCTTTTAGCATTGTGGGACCCCAGTGGTGAGTCCCATTGATCTGTTACTTTACAATTTATGAGGCATCTAAGAAGCAGTACACCAGAGTGCAATTGCTGAACAATTTCCTGTGAGGATGGCTGCTTTCTTCGTATCTCCCTTCCTCAGAGTTGTGTTGAGTTGTTTGGGGTTCCTGGGGTTTTTTTGCAGGGTTACTGGTATTATGAAATTTTGCAACCTCAAAAACTTATCTGGGAAATTTACAGCACCTTTTCCACTGCTATAAGTATTGCTGTGCAATTGCTGTGCAATCTGCCTTTCAAAATTGATGGAATAATGGAGTAAATGACCAGGACGGATGTTGTGGCAAACAATAGTTGGCAGAGCTCGTGCCACATCTGAGAACACTGGGCACATGTGCAGGGACTCCTAACTCTTTGTGCTTTGTCAGGGAAAGTTATGTAAAATCTTAGCTGTCGCATCATGATATTGCAGTAGAGAACAGGAAGAAAAGCAATCCTGGCTTTTCATCAACCAGCTAAAAATATGAATTTTATTTTTTTAGGTTTTTTGTCTTCCTAACAATTCACATTAACTTGTACAGCTGAAAATCCAGGACAGCCTAAAAAGTCTTTCCAAGAACATAACATAATATTCTGTTCTAGACAGTCATTAGCACATGTCAGGACTATGTCTTCCAGCCAAAATAAGAGAGAGAGAAATTTTACTACATTTTTGTAACTAATGAAATGAACAGCTGCAATAAGACTGATTCTCTCTCTGAAATTGACTGTAAACTGTACACAGAAGTTTATCTAACTTGTCTGGTTTTTTTTCTTCTAACATTTCTTTTTCAAGGGAGAAATTTCAAACTATATTTATATAGTCCTCTGAATCATTCAAATTCAGTCCTTTGTACTACCAGGAAAGCCTCAAAGCTACAAATATTTTCCCTTGTAAGGATTACGGGTTTTTTTCTTTTACTTTCCTTTCTACTTATTACTAATTAAGTAGTACTTGGGGGAAACACTTCCCGCCTATAATTTGAACTACAGCAGGGTACACGAAACAGGCAAATGCTTGTCTTGACTAATTTTCTGTCATTAATCTTATTAAATTAGAACAGGATTGCAAAGATAGCCTGAAACCACTACAGCGCTCAGAGATCTTTGCAGACTGCTAGAAAGACTGCTGTCTGCAAATGAGGAAAGTAGAAAAAAGCAAAAGAAAAGAAAAAACTGTTCAAGCTGCAGAAAGATTTATTGCAGGTTTTATTAATATAAAAATACATGCACATTTGTTACAGAAATAGTCATTGCTTGCAGGATCAGAATTAATTCAGAAAAAAATGAATATTTTACTCCAGTCATTTGGCTCTACATACAAATTTTATCTTAACTAACGTGCTAGTTGGTCTTATAAAAGATGACCTTAAAAAGGGGAAGTTTGCAGATAAGCTATAAGGTCTAATGAGGTGAACTACTAACAGAAGTGGAGCAGTGGCCTCTTCAGTGACAGTGAAGCTTGAACTGAAATTTAACTGAGGGCAGAGAGTTTTTCTGGTTTGTTTGTTGGTTTGGTTTTTTTCTTTTTACCCTGAAGTAGAAGGTTGGGTTACAGAAACACATGAGATTTGAAGGATTGCTGTGAGAATGGAAAGCCAACAATATGTTAGTAATGGTGCTGTGGGGAAATGGAAGAGGAGCCATCAGAAGTCATCAGCAAAACAGCTGCTATTTCCAGTCTCGTTTGCCCACCAAAAAGTGCTGGCTAGCTAGTGCTATGTGTTGTATTTACCAGCTCAAGAAACTCAGACGCTTTCAGATAAAGAAGGGAACAGGATCTCATGCAGGTACTGGAGGCATTTTGAAGAGAGTTGAAAGGAACCCAACCAGGTTGGTGAAGAGTGCTGGCCTGGGTGAACACACATGTGCATGGGTCCTTGCTTAGGACTGTACCACTTTTGTCACTATTCTTGACGCAGAGTATATATTTTAGGGGGCATTTAACCCACCTCAACTGGGTAATTGACTCTTGCAGCTGAGCAGGCTTTCATTACTTTCTTATTGATATAAGGTTTTATCTGTAGGCAGACCCGATAATAGTTCTGTTTCACAATTCAAATTAAGACTTGAAGACTGTAAAAATTTAATTATCTGATTTTATACTTCATAAGAGGTATGACAGTTTCTTCCATACGAAGACTGGGTGAGAATGAAATATGGAGTTTCGTGGGAGATTCTGTATTCCCCGCCCTCAAAATTAAATTAAAATATTTCTCACAAATGCAGTTCAGGAAAATATCTGATTTCAGGTCAGCTGGACATACATTTAAAGAAAGAATAACTTAAATAGAAGTTTTAAAGCCATTCAAAAGAAAAAAATCGATTCTGAAGATGTCAAAGCATCTCCTTTATATACTATTAATATAATTTTGTTTCAGGTTGACACTAATGTAACTTACTTGAAATTACAACTTTTCTCTTCATAATGCTTTGATTTTCACTGAAGCATTACTATTGTTTCAGAAAACATTTTCTTCTCAACACCAAATTTCACAAACTGGAGTGAAGAGATAGAGCTTCAAAAGCTTTCCAATTAACTGGAAATACGTAAAAAAAAAAAAAAAAAAGGAAACAAAAATAGGGAACCTAGCATGTATTCTTTTTTTAAGTCTTGTAATATGGGGAGTCACAATTTAGATTTTTGAAATTTGAGCTTGACAATGCGTACACTACAACAACTATAGCATTTTTTTAGCTGTGTTTGTCTAGTGAAAAAAGCATTGAAGAACTGATTCACCAGAGCTTTTGAAAAAGAAATTTTAGGTACATTCCTTTATGCAATACTTTTTCTTTTGATTTAAGCACAAGGTTGTGGTTACGCAATCTCTATATCCTTGATTGCTTTGATGCGTCAGAGCTGCTGGCGAGGTTGGTGGTTGAGTTGGTGGCAAATGAACATATGAAGAGTCATGCTTAAAAGTTTTCCTTCAAAAGATTACTTGCAAAAGATATTAATGGTCTGTTATATGGTGTCAGTTTTGCTGTTTATAAAGTGCCAAGACAGAATGAAGTGCTTTGGCTTAATTTTGCATGCAACAGAAATCAGGCCACAGATCTGAGAAGTCTACACAATTGGTATATCATATTACCTGTGGAGGAAAAGCAAAATTTTCCTAAAATTTTATTTTTATTTAATTTATTGTTCATTTTTAAATATAAAATTATTTTCTATGGCATATATTTCATTTTAAAGGTCTACATGATTGTTTTATTTTCCATAAAGAGGCTGAGCAGCTGTAGACATTAATGGTTTTAAATATTTTTTTAAAATACCATCAGTTCAGTTTTTATGTAAAGATCAAACAAGGACATGAAATGCATATACTTGTTCAGTTTATCTGTGCTTCTGTGAAGGACTTCATTTTTAGTTGATTTCATCACCACCACAAAAATATATGTACTTTGCCTTGTTTGCTTCTCAATTACATCCATTCAGACCATTTGGCCCATTGCAGTGCTATTCCCACCACTCCTCAATTATCCTGGCTCCCCTGTTTCCTTCCCTGCCCAGCTCACACTCCACCAGCTAGGTACCCCTGCTTTTCATCCTTACAAAATCCTCTATACCTGTGGATGTTTTCATAGCTTGAAGCTTGCTCTCTTACTGAATAGTTATAGGAATGAAAAATAATTGGAATCTCCAAAGCTGTAAAACACAAGGAGCATTGGTCACTGCTGATAATAAGTATTATGATAGTAGTGATCTCCAGATATGGAATTAGCCTTAAAGTAAATGCAATCCATCCCTCTGTAAATCCAGAATTTAAAAGCTCTTGAGGTGAAGAACTTTTCAAGCAAGTAAACTTGCACATGCATTTGAAATGTAACTAACTTAGTTTTATGGGAATTTCTGAGGTCCTCGATAGCAGTGGTATCCACCATAGTCAACAAGTGACTATCATACTAAGCAATCCCAAAGCACCCATCTCCAACAGTGAGGCACTCAACATGGAACTGTAGATGCAAAGGGCATCAAACCTGCTTTGTTGGTAGCAAGTGGAGAACATTCTGGCCTATGGCTGATGCCACCAGTTGTGGCAGCAAACCCATCCTTTGCTTCAGTGAGAGGGTTAAGCTACACAGTGTGGGACAGACAATGGCCTTGCTGTAGAGGCTTGTTGTCTGCAGGACCAGCATTTTGTGAAAAGCCTCCACCAGGCCAGCAGATGCCTGCCTGATAGCTCTGGGCTTTGACACCAGCTGGGGTTTGGGGGGATCCACTCCTCATCATCTATAAATTTAGCCCAGTCCTGATTAGTCAAACTTACTTCAGTGTTTCCCCCAGGTTACACAAGACTGTTTTCTTGTCTGTGTGGGCATTGGCCCTAAGGAGCAGAAATTGGGTAGTCTGTGGCTGGAGCTACCTAAAGCCACAGCAACACAGGGGTTCCCCATGCCTCTTCCACCACGCTTATGCTTCAAGATAATTTGTCATGACATCTTCCAGTTAAAAATTCTGATGGCAATTTGACTATAATTTAAGGAGGGGTTTGGTGGTTGGGGTTTTTTTTCTCTTTCCTTGTGATTAGAGAGGGGAGGGGGAGTTGTTTGATGAAATGGATGTCTTGGTGCTGGTGTCAGCCTGGCCCCTGCACAGTCCCTTTTATCAGCAGTATGGTGTCCCCAGCTGTGAGCATAGAGGTGCCAAGAGCAATTAGAAGTGCAGCTATGAAACGTTACTTTGTTCACAATGTACTTTTCTTTTTTTTTTTTTTTAACTTGTGAACTTTTCACATTACTGGGCTGAACAGAACGGGTGGAGATTTCTTCTTAAGCTATTTCTATTGTTATATAACTTTGATAGCAACATTAAGTGAGTCTTTACTGGCTCGACTGAGCCTTCTGGAGCCTGTTGGGTGTTAAATGGGGTTCTCTGCTCAGTGACCTCCAACAACTGACGTCTCCTGATCTAAGCACTTCCTGTTGTTTTACTGGTGACGGTTAGTTTTCTATTAAGCTCATTTGAGTCCTGCACATCTTTACCCTCTGCCCTTTAAAGGGAGGGGCTAATGTTAGTTTTGGCTTCTGAATGAAAACTTTGCAGTTCAGGCTTAAAACAGAGCAACTGCAAAAAGAGAAAGAAGGAAAATTTAAATTATAAATCATCTTTAGCATCATGGCATGACCATTAACAGCTGACTTCACTGTCACTATTATCTGTTGGAAATTTTTTCAGTGCTAAGTGTTCCCAGTATCAAGCATCCTACAGGCTTTGCTAGTCATTCAAAAGTCATGAGTTGTGTTATAAAAATTGTGGGATTCAAAAACTAGTAATAATGCATATTTGGTATTTCTTTCTCCCTTTCAGTGTCTTAATTTTCATGAGCACACAGAGGTCACATCTTCAGACTTTTCTCCTTAGCCCTCAGGGCTAGAAACTCAAAAATGAAGGCTGAGATTGTCAAAGAATTAAATTCTTCTAGGAGCTTCAGGAGAGGGGGTGGGGGGTTCGGGTGGGAGGGTGGAGCAGGGGAGCAAGGAGAAATCAAATCTTTGACAAAATCCGAAGAGCTGACAGAACAATTAGCAAGTGGGAGGCAAAGGTTGCTTTTCTTTCCTTGCTGGTGACTGAGGCGAAATAGTCAAAATCTCAGTGCTGATTTAAATTATATGGATTTTACTTAGACATAAAAAAAAGGTAGTTGACTTCATCATCATATTTTTATGCCAGTCTGGTGCAGAGCCCTATGGTATATACTTAGAGGGAAAAAGCAGAGAGGATAGATTTTCAGTCATAACTCTGGATTTTGTATATTCAATGGATTAAGTTTGATGCAGCGATGTATGTTCCTACACAAGTCATCTGAAGCATTTATTTTGAGTGGGAGCACTGTCCTCAGGCATCGAGGCTGCAGGCTGACCTCCCCAAAGGCAGAGCTAGTCACCCACCAAACTGTTCCTCTTCTGCTGCTCCTGAAATTTTAGACCAGGACAGTCTATAAGAGAAGAGTTCACAGTGCAACCAGATCATATAAATTGCAGCAAATTGCAGGCTGTTCAACACATGTGATACTAATTTGGATAAAGTAGCTGTCTTTCAGCTCACAGATAGTAAGTAGCATTTACAATACATATATGTGGAGTGCCATGTTGAGGTAGGACTAAAACCTAGTAACTGTTTTTGTTTTGTTTGTTTTTTTCTAGTTAGGCACAAATTAAATTATGCAGCTTAATGCTATTCAAACAGAGCTTCACGTCTATAAAATTAACAGATTAAAGAGTTCCTGAAAGTATTGGCCAAAATACAAGAATTAAAAATATTTTAAGAAAACAACTTTGAACCAATCCACAAATGAAAAACCTCACTGTCATATTTATTCACAGATACATGAGACCTTATGAAATAAGGACATTTTATTTTCCCTTAGCATTATGTGTTTAATTTGGAAGTCTTGTATTTTAGACCTTCCACTGAATCAAAAACCAAAACAAAGAGACTTCAAAAGCCACTGTTGCTTCATTCAAGTCTAAACTCTCCCTTTGTTCCTATAGCTAATGAGTTTATACTGTCCTGCAGGGAGAATCGACACCAGCCTCAAGTAAATGAAAGAAAGCCAAATATTGGTAAGATCAGAGCACTAAAGTAATTATGGGTTGATTAAATGTTTATCTTCTTTACAGGTGGGAAGGGAAGAATGAAAATGAAGTGGGACGATGCAAAGAGACTGGCAAGATTCATGTGACAGTCAATCACAAGTACTACAGGCCAACTGAAGTGGTAAGAAAATGCCCTCTCTTAGCTTTGCAAATGAATAATCCAATCACTCAGCCAATAAATTGCTGCATTTGGCCAGCAGTCTGTGAAAACAGCTTAATTGCACTCCCGCTGCCAGCTTTTAGAGCTCTAAATTAGCCTGCTTATTGGCCCCCTCACAGCCAGCTACCTGGGAAGAAACAAGTGAGCAGGCGGGAGGAGCGGGTGGCCCTGTCACAGAGAATCTTGGTCAGCCTCTCTGAGTGGGAGAGGTGGCACTGTAGGGGGTAAAGCATCACATGGGAAACAAAACAAAGCGTAGAACATCTCGTTGTTCCTTCTGATTGTGAATGGGAATATAGTCACCTCTCCTCCAGCTATGAGAGCAGAAAGCAGAGGAAGGTGGGCACTGATGAGCTTCATTATGTGTTTCATGACAGTGTTTCAACTTCATCCAGTGAGTATCCCCTGTCCAGTTTAGATCTTTGTAACTATGGGTACTGCAAAATTCCCGTTTTAGAAGTGTGTGTGTGCTTAGTTTTCTTGGGTGCTTTGCAGGATCCCACTCAGCAAATGATTGTTTGCAGAACACATCTTTACTCCTAGGAATGCGCCAGCGAAGTCTGCCGGGATACTAAACCAACACATGCTGCCAGCAGGACCAAGTCACTAATCCCTGTGCTCCCATCACCTAATCAGCATTCTAGGAGAGGGAAAAAAACAACAGTATTTCCAGGTCTGCCAGGATGGTGGCAATGTGCAGAGATAGAACAGGACGAAGCCTGGTTTCTGGACACGGGGAACAGTAGCACCAATTGTGCAATGTAGTAGTGGATGTACACAGGAGAGGATGTTCTCCTCTCCTTGGGGGAGTGATACCAGCCCCACTGGCTGCTGACACAGCACCAGCTGTCAGGCGATGAAGAGCTGTCTGATTCAAGCAAGGGGATGACAAGAGCACCTTTGTGTTGCAGGGTGGGAGTGGGGAGCCTGCATGTGTGGAAGTGGACACAGGTTCTAAAATTGAAATTCAGAGAACAGAGACTTTCATGTTATGTTAAAAAGGACTGGACCTGTGTATTGCAATCAAATGCTAGGAAGTCATTAAGAGCTGTCGGTCATTCTGTGCTGTGGTAAGGTGTCAGGATGATAAGGAGGACAGAGACAAAAGGACTTGCCAAACAGGAAAAGGACACTTGACCCAACAAGTCTCTGCTTTGTGAGACCCACTTTCCTGCTTTGTCATACCTCTTACTAACAAGTACATATTCGCTCTTCAAAATTCACAGTTAATGTGTAGCTGTTTGGAAGCCATCCCTGTAGGCTGTAGTTCCACTTTATTCAGAAAGTGCTCAGACACTTTCTGCTGAAATAGTGGTGCCCATGGTCTCCTTTTTCTCTGTCCTTATTGGTCTGCTTTTGGGAATACAGTTTCTCGATTTTAAATTCAGTTCACTATACATTTGTCCATTTTGGAGTAGTGCATAAGAAGACATCTGTCAGGAATACTCATGTAATTTCTAGTGGATCCATATATGCATATAAGGATGTATTCATATACAGAGTGGATTCTGGCCTGGAAATAGCACTGTGTATAAACACAGTAGATGTCTGATGTTTATCTGAAATTACCTGATCTGTCATAGGCCACCTTCCCTTGAATGAGGGCTTTTAATACAGTCCCTACTTGGTTCCTGTGGAACCCAAAAAGGCTGTGAAGCTGCTCAAGCATGATCAAAGTAGAAGCACAAAATGGTTTTTGAAGTACCTTTGTCTCAAGGAATAGATGAACTGCGAGGAAACTCCTCTATGAATAGATGTGGCATCCTTTTCCTGAAATCAGTTTCCTTTTTAGAGCATCTCAGAATGGATACACAGAATCACTTTCTTTTTTTGAAATTCTGATTTTATTTTCATTCTTTGTCAGAGGCAGGCAAACTACTTTTTGTTTCATTCAGAGAATCACATCTGTGCAATTCAAAATACTAGACCAAATTCCAATCAATTGCACAAAAGCAAGGAAAAGCAACAAAATTACTAAAACAGACTGACAGCACGTGTCCCCTCCTGCCACCCATACCAATACTGCTGAAGGCAAGAAAGCCTCAGGTTGACATTTTGGAAGAAGGCATAGCCAGATCAGTTAACAGGAATTCTGCTGTTGAATCCCAACAGACGCAGAAAAGCTGATGCTCAGATTCTCATGTCTTACTTGGAAACATTTCTGTCTGTCTATCTCTCTAAAATTTAACATGGTATTCTGGAAAGTGAAAATAAACATAATTTAATCTTGTGTACAGTCAGTTCTGACAGTGCCAATACATTCATTTGAAAACACATTTGTTTTCTTCAGTTAGTGATCCTTGGGGTCAAGGCCTCCCATTGAAAAGCTTAGCTGTACTGAAGAAGAAACCTTGAAATGTGAGACTGTCTTCTGGTCAAACTAAGTAGACCCTTTGAATGCCTTGGCTCTAAATCTCTTCACTCTGCTTTTGACTGCTTTGGGGCCCCTTGATATTTACTGGCCTTGGGAATTGTTCCTGCTAATGCTTCCAATGCCTGTCTCTCTCCTTCCTTCCTTGTGTCTTGCCAACTACAAACCTATCAGTATCGTTTCTTTCAGCTTGTATCGAATTCCTATCAGTATATTTTCTGACCCATTTTAAATTGTTTTTGGAAACTCTAACCTGCAGTAAGGATTGGAGAAAAGTTATTACTTTTCCCTTTCTTAAAATCAACAGTTTTCACAGGAACTTCATGGCAAGTTTGCTTTTATACTGATCTTTATACTACACTACGAAAGATGCTTTTATGCATTTTGCAAGTTTTTTAAGCACGTGGCTAGCGAATTCATACTTTACACTGATTTTCTGCCCTAAGCATGTAAAAATCAGTTCCCACTAGAGTTTATTCACCTGTGAAATGTAGGTACTTCAGAAATTATCTCACTACTCTTTTCTACTTAACGTTACAGTCAGAATGTTCATATTGTAGGTAGGCAACTTAATCTATACTTGGATTTAAATAATCTATTGAGTATTTACAAAAACATATTAAAATTAATTTATATATTTTAAAAATTAAAACTGAAATTCAATGAACTGCCTCAGTAAGTTGGAAACGATCATCCCTGCAGCACACGACGTCGTAGGCATCAGGTCTCTCAGCCCCTGAAGTTGGGTAATTTTTACAGAATTATGGTCTGTCTTTAATTTTCTTATCTCTCAGCAGGACAATTACTATTAATTTGTATGCGTAAATTTCCCTCGAAGAATTGCACAATTGCTTCTAATTAAATTTTGCCAAATAACCTGTGTGAGTAAAAGTGCTTCTATTATTTTTGCATGGCAGATATTAAGCTAACAGTTCTACAGAAGCTTGCTTCATTTCATTGCCCTTTCCTGCAACAATGAAGATTAACCCCAGGTCTCACTGGTGTGTCCAATCATCACAGAACTTAGATGTATATATCTCTCAGTTAGGAGTTTGTGTTACTTTTTTGAACGGGAAAAGAAAAGAAACCTTTCAACCATATGTAAATGTTTTTTCTCTGAATCTAATGCTCTACATGTGTTACAGGGAATTCTTCCCCTTTCCTCCCACCTGCATCTGCTGTTTTCCTACAGATTGCCTAGTGTAGGAACTGCAGGTTGTATCTGTGCATCACATTTGTTATAGGCTGGCATGACTGTAACTCTGAGGATGCACATGCATCATCAATGCAAATTTCCCTTCTTTAAGCAAGCCCTGGAAACTCTGTCACAATGTGATGCTAATATTTAAATAATCATCTGGCCTCGTATTATTCTTCTTCAAAGAAAAAAGGTCATACTAACTTGCTAACTTCTTCCTTTTGTTATACACCTTAACATTGTTCTCCCAGTTCTTTCTAGCACTGATATAAATTAAATATATATACATGTATACATTTATATATATAATCATATATATATATATGATTTCTCAAGTTTTCTGTGTGTTGCTTTTACTAAACTTTGCATCTTTGCTTAACTGTGTTTGGCCTCAATTACCCTTTTCCCTCCTTGGAATTAAGCAGGATGGCTTTAAATTTCAGTCTCTTCAGATGTTTTTTTAAAAATTCAGCTCTGTATTTCCCATGTTTCATAGGATTCCAGTAAAAAATTCCTTGGGGCATATCACATTCACCCAAAGTCAGCTTTTTTACAGTCAAAAACATTTTTGAACTCCTCTAAGTGTTCCTGCCCTAAAGAACATTTAGAATCTAGTGAAACCATAATCACAAACCCCTAAATGCCCCACACTTCCACTTTAGTTTTCATACAAGCTTCATTTCCTACTCTTAAGTTCAGAGCCGCCTGTGACTGTAAACTGTTCAGATATCTCTATGAGGAAACAAATGCTTCCCTTCCTCAAGGACCTTTTTTGCTCATCAATGTCAATATGTGGCCTGTACTAATACTCATGAAAATGAAATGGGAGCATTTAAGGAAGAATAATCTCAGATGATTTTCCTGTCTATTTTCCTCATTAGCAGCCAGGTAAAGAAGTTCTGAGTTGTCATAATACTGAGAGTATTCTCTTTTTTTTTCTGCTTGTTCTGAAAATATATGTTAGCTTCTGAAAACTATTGCTTCTCTTGTCCTTAGTTCTCCTCCAAGGTGACTTTGCTGCCACGTCAGCCAAAATGTTTATATTGTTCCTTTCTTCAAACTCAACATTATCTCTGCATTGCTTTGCCACCCTCTTCCTTTTATTTGTCCCTCCTGCTAATAAAACCTGCAGTAGATTTTGTTTGTTTGTTTGTTTTAGTGAAGGCCTTACATATCAGGCATTTCAGAGGTATCTTTGAAAATATACATATCAAATTCAGCCAACTAAAATAATGATCAGTAGTAACTTGTCTCTGTATAACATCTAAGTAGCACTTAACATATTTTAAATGTTTCTCAACAAGCACGTGAAAAAGGTTTTTTAAAAAATAGCATCACTGTCTTTCTGCTTCTGAAACATGTCTGGCAGAGCAAACAGACTACACAGCTTGA